CTGTACAAGAGTGTGCAACATCATGTCATTTAGCCTGTTTCTTAAATTCTGCTCATCAGCCTAGTACGCTTGCAAAGCAACATGGGAGTTCTGTAGTTCTGTAGTCAGAGTCAATACCAGAATAGGGAAGTGCGGAAAATAAACACAACCCGATCCACAAAAATACCGCAACCTAATTCAACAGCAGAGGCGCCTGAACAACCAACTACACTACCACAAAAGCAGCGACGGGCCTGCCAACGGAAATCCAAGGATCCAGAACCTCCGTTGGCAGGCCCATCGTTGCTTTTGTGGTAGTGTAGTTGGGGTAGCTAGCAACAGGAGCAGCCTCCTTCATTGGTCGTTAGGTCGAGCAGCTGGATATGCCATAGTTAGTGTGACATATAGGGTATTTATGTGTATCTGCCCACTCAATTGTGACATTATTTTATGCATATGATATCGATTTTGTATCTTTACAGATACCACACATATACCCCCCATTCAATTTAAAGCATAACTGATTTGAGTAAAGTATCAGTAGTGTACCCTAAATAGATCATTTGTTTATATAGTTTATATTGTGCTTCGTGATATTGTTTGAGGGAACTGTAACGTAAGGTAACTGCATACGAGTGGATGCAACCGTCACTAATGCTAGCGTAGTTCCTCAGGGATTTAAGCTGTTAATACTTTAATTTTGACAATCCAACCTGTGCCAACACATTAGCTAAGGTTGTAAGGACTGTAACTGTTGGTAGCTGTTGTTGATTTTGTTTAAATATGTTGAATTATAATTTTATGGGTTATTGTTTGTCGGACGATTGAGCTAAGCTAACTGACTCTAACGTCAGTTGTCACTTGTTGCCATAGCAACGATAAACATTCATACGGGCTAAGTGCAGAGTGCAGAATAAATATAGTTAAGATATATTGTATTTAACACAGGATGTGGGATTTTAGTAGTTAGTAAACTTTTAGAAAAGAGCTATTTACCGTTGCTCTGACGTCAAACAATGGAGACAGGTAATAAAATACTGCGGTTATCCTATCTACACGCAACCGCTGGCACCGGAGTCTTCCAAAAACTTCACCCTGGACTCCAGTTTTAAAGAAACGCAGTTTCGGGGGCCCGAAAGTGCGGTTGCGTTAGGCTTGTGCCGATTTCCGGTTTAACCGGTTCGGTCCGGTTTAAGAGCTCCACCCGGTTTAATTCACGTGAACCGGAAGAGAAAAAAAAAAAAAAAAAGCTTTTCACATTGGCGACATGTCAAGGGACTATATTCAACTTACCTTGCATTGTAACATGCATTATGACAACTTAATAAGGTGATGTTTGTTTATAAATGAAGTGGAGGAGCCTACAAGTGTTTTGTTTAGTTTGTCTCAGAGGCTTCAGAGGGACTCCGCAGCTCCGCTCCGCTCAGATGTCTGCTGCTGCTGCGAGAGATCAAATTTCATTGGGGCGGGAAAAAGTGCGAGGGAGTCAGCAGTCATTCAGTTTGTTGCCCTAGTGACCTGTTTCCACTGAAGAAGTTCCTGGTACTATTTGGGGGGCTGGAACTACTACAGGAACGTCCTCTTGCTCGGCCCTCTCAACCGCCGTGTCTCCACTGAGCGAGCGGAGTCGGAGGAAGGTTCCTTGGTGTCCTTCTGCATCTTCTTCTTCTTGTGTAACCTTGTGTGTATTGGCGGTTAATACAGCATTACCTCCACCTAGTGGATTGGAAGCGCATTACACCTATAATGGGCTTTTATTGGGAAAAATAGCTCAAATGGGACCCCCACTGGTAAAATTAGGTATATAATTAGATATATCAGTTCGGTTAGATATTTGGTTTTAAATCAAACCGGTTGGAAAATTTTCAAACTGGCACAAGCCTAGGTTGCGTGTTGCCAAACAGCCAAATCGCATTGAATAATACACAGAAGTACACAGGTCTGTGTGGACGAGGCCTAATAATAGCAAGAATGTTTTATTTGAACTGGTGCATGTGGATTGCTTTTGTTTAGCCAGGGCAGAGCTATTCGACGGCGCAATGGTCAGTACGGTCAGTGCCCCGAAGTGTAGTAGTAATGCCGACTGTCGAGCATTTCCGGTGGGAGAGAGGGAATCGTGGGTGTAGCCACGTCAAACCCACCAATAGAAACTCTTCTCTCATCCATCAGTGTAGGTCCCGCCCATTAAGTGCAGTTGAACTTGCAAGCAAAGAGGACTGATCTGCAAGCAAAACTTTTTATGTCGCAAGCAAAGAGGACTGATGTGCAAGCAAAACGTTAACTCGCAAGCAAAGAGGACTGATATGATAACAGCAGCAGCAGGAGGCATCCGGCAGGACCACGGCAACAGCACAACCACAAACGTCACACTATCCAGGCACTGCTGCGATTTAAGTTAATCTGCGAGACAGTGGAGCACAAAGGCTCCAGAGAAGAAGCCAAGTTAGTGGCATGCAGTACGGCCGAGTTAGCGAGATGCAGTAACAGGACATGAGTGTTAGCAAAGGAGAGAGAGAGAGAGAGAGAGAGAGAGAGAGAGAAGAAGAGAAGGTGCTTAATGTATTATAGGAGGTCCCCCGGCAGACTAGGCCTAAGTCAGCCTAACCAGGGGCTGGTACAAGGCAAGCCTGAGCCAGCCCTAACTACAGTATAAGCTTTATCAAAGAGGAAAGTCTTAAGTCTGGTCTTAAATGTGGAGATGTTGTCTGCCTCCTGGACCGCAACAGGAATATGATTCCACAGGAGAGGAGCCTGATAGTACTACTTTTGGTAACTTTAGGGACCACGAGTAAACCTGCTTTCTCAGACCGCAGTGTTCTGGTGGGATAATATGGCACTATGAGCTCTCTAAGATATGACAGAGCCTGACCATTTAGAGTTTTATAAGTTAGGAGTAATTCAATTCTGGATTTTACAGGGAGCCACTGACAGAAATTAAGAGGTGAGAAATGTGTTCTCACCTCTTAATTTCTGTCAGTGCATGTGCCACTGCATTCTGAATTAGCTGGAGAGTTTTTACCTGATAATAGGGAATTACAGTAATCCAGCCTAGAGTTAACAAAAGCGTGGACCAATTTTTCTGCATCTCTTCGGGTCAGGATAGACCTAACATTCGCAATGTTACGCAGATGAAAAAATGCAGTCCGTGAGGTTTGTTTTAAATGGGAATTAAAAGACAAATCTTGGTCAAATATTACTCCGAGTTTTCTTGCGGTAGTGCTAGAGGCCAGAGCAATGCCATCCAGAGAAACTATGTCATCAGATAAAGAGTCTCTGAGGTGTTTGGGGCCAAGAACAATAACTTCAGTTTTGTCTGAATTTAACATCAGGAAATTGGAGGTCATCCAGGTTTTTATGTCTTTAAGGCAATTTTGAAGTTTAGTTAATTGATCAGTTTCTTCTGGCTTCACTGATAAATACAATTGTGTACCATCCGCATAACAATGGAAATTTACAGAGTGATTTCTAATGATTTTACCTAAGGGAAGCATATATAGAGTGAATAGGATTGGTCCGAGCACAGAACCTTGCGGAACTCCAAAACAAACTTTGGTACGTAAGGATGATTCATTATGAACGTCAACAAACTGAAAACGATCAGATAAATAAGATTTAAACCAGCTTAGTGCAGAACCTTTTAGGCCAATTAAATGTTCCAGTCTCTGTAGCAGAATTTGATGGTCAATTGTGTCAAATGCCGCACTAAGATCTAATAAAACAAGTACAGAGACGAGTTCTTTGTCTGAAACAATCAGAAGATCATTTGTAATTTTAACTAGTGCTGTCTCAGTGCTATGATGCACTTTAAATCCTGACTGAAATTCCTCAAATAAATTATCATCATGGAGAAAGTCACACAGCTGGTCTGTGACTACTTTCTCAAGGACCTTTGAAAGACAGGGAAGATTAGATTTTGGTCTATAGTTGGCTAACACCTCTGGATCAAGGGTGGGCTTTTTTAGAAGATATGTGTGTATAATGACAGTAGAAGTATGATTAATGATAACAGCAGCAGTAGGAGGCATCAGGCAGGACCACGGCAGCAGCACAGCCACACACGTCACACCATCCAAGCACAGCTGCGATATAAGTTAACCTGTGGGACAGTGGAGCACAAAGGCAAGAGAAGGGCATGTATTTTTGATGGTAACGAAAATCATACCTTTGGGATTTCTAAATACCAGGAGCGCTGGAGCGCACAGGAATGACGTTCCACCACATTTTTTCTCCAAGTGAGGATTAGAATATATGCAGAAGAGGCTGAGATGCAGCTGCTGGACAGAGCCACAATCTGTTGAGAGACCAGTAACAAGGAAAATGAATGGGCATAGTTAGATAGAACACATCAGTAAGCATCACATAATGTGTGTTTTTTAATTTGGTGGAAGGATTTTTCAAAGTTAAAACAACAAAGATTTTATAGTGGGATTTACAGTGCCTGCCCCATTGAGTCCAATAGAACTGACAACAAAGTCTGGCTCCTCTAGAACCCTGTCACTGACATCTTGACCATACCTTCTTTTATATTTTCGTTGGTGTCTGACAGGGAGTAAACAGGAACGAAAGCTGTTGCCCTCACAACAGAATTGCAATGGGAAAGTCTATATATCTGCACATTAAACATTAAGATGAAAAATGGAAATTGAATGCAGACTGTGTTGAGGTATTACTGTGATCCCTCTGCATGCTCTTACTAATGCTTTCTCCTCCATCTGCCTTTAGTGCAGCCTCTCATGGCTTTTCACTTCTTTTCCCACTTTCTCTTTTCATCATTTTCCATCCATTTTGTTTGTTTGTCGTTACCTCTCCATTAGTGCTTGCTCTTTAATTATGTCTTCTCTGTCTGCTCTCTCCCTTATTTGTTCTCTGTCATCTGTTATGTCATATCATATTTTGGTGTCTTTCCTTTCCTTTCCACCTTCTGTTGGTCCTGTCCCTGTTTCCTTCCCCTTTCTTTTCCTTTCTCACATAATTTCATCATTGTTCTATCCTTTCAAATTGCTTGTCCAATTTTCATCTAGGGCAGTGGTTGGGTTAAAGGCAGCCCAGTGGCACTGAGCTCCAGTTCGAGCACGCCAAGCCACGGACGTCGGCAGCTCCCCCAGACCCCCCTCACCCCACGGCCCGGGGTAGCCTACAAGACTGCCAATTCATCCCCTTTGCACTTCATTTCCAGCCAGGCCTCTCTAAGTCCTGGTCGGCTGAGCCGTGGCCTGTCGGAGCACAACGCCCTCCAGCATAGTGGCTCCCACCACCTTCCCTGCCCCGTCAGTCGTATCAGTTCCGAGCCCTTCCTGGGCCAGAGCCACAGCGAGGCCCTGGGCAGCCTCTATGGCAGCCTCACGGACCAGCTGGACATCTATCAGGATGCGACATCACTGTCGCCCAGTACCCGTGCCGGACGCTTATCTCGGACCGCACTGCCTCGCATGATGGGAGCCCTGCTTCCTGCTCCGCAGCAGAACCTTGTGGTGCCCAACGGGTACCACTTCAGCTCTGGGGGTAGCACCAGCCTAGGCTCTGGCATCAGGGCACCCAGGTATTACCAGGAGGCAGAGGAGGATGAATGGTGCTAGCATGGCTTTAAAACAATCTTTTTAATGTATTTTTTAGGAATTGTGATGAGTTCATTTTCTTTGAAGGCTTTAGTTTATATTGTCGCTATGTGTGTTTAATGCTGTAGTTTAATCCAATCTTAGAGAGGTTAGGGAGAAAATCGGAGTAGGGAAAAAGTTTGAAGTAGGTAATATTTGAATGTGAAGAAAAAAGTTTCATCTTTATCAAAGGGCACATAGCATTATGAGACAGGATTAGACTTTCTGCCAATACCAGATGTCGTACAGTAGCTGTCCTAGATTTGCCTTGACTTCAGTGTTTTGTTGGCAGCACCATATTGATCCTTAAACAGAACTTCATTCACACAACACAACACAACTATCAGACCTGCTATGTGTCATTCATGAGTCCAGCCTGTCTTCCAGAAAAAAAACATTCATGTAAAGACTAGTGATGTATTGTGGTATTCCTCTTCAGGTTTATTTTTGTCTCTTGATTACTAGGGAGTAAAGTTTTTTTTTTTCCCATTAAAGCATAAAATGAGGTGCTTGCACTCTGAGGTGAAAGTAATGAAAATGATTAAAAAAATGGAGATGATGAAAATGTGAACTGAAAACTAAATATGGATGTGAAATGAAAAGCAGTGTTAAATTATCAGGTGATGTGATTAATTTAAAGTTGATTTGATTAGAAGAGTTGTCATATATAATAAAAAAAAAGGTTTCATCATTTTCTCTGTCTTACAGTCATCATTCTCAACACAAAATTTATCATTTAAGGAAAGTGGCCTCAAGGGTGGGAGGAACAAAAAAATTAATGAAAAAAATGAAGTAATGAAATTGCTCATGAATTAATAATGGGAGTGATGTATGTGAACTGAAAAAAGAGTGATAAAATATCAATTGATTTATTACATTTCTTTGAAGCAGTCTGGGCTGTGTAACTGCTACTGTAATTCACAGCACCATGCTGATATTTATCATTTACAGCAAACAATGTTTGTTACTTCCATCCTAAATGTCAAGGTTTTGGCTCTTAATTTGCAGGCCTGGCCAGGGCCCATATTCAGAAAGATTCTCAGAGTCCTCTCAGAGAGCTCCTAACTTAGCCTAAAAATTCCTAGCAAGGAATCTTAGCTTAAGAGTGATTCAGGAAGTTTCTGAGAGCAACTCTGAGCAAGGAGGTGACAGAAACTTTTATCTTAGTGAGGAGGTGTGGTTGACCCCGTTGCTAGGTATGACACAGTCTTCTAAAAGCTGTGATTGGTTGTTACAAAAAGGAAAAAAACAAATGCGCTCCTAGTAATGAATGGACAGTGAAATCAACCGATCATAGAACTTAGACTGTATTAAGAAATGTGTAATCATGAAAATAATTTTATGTCATGATGATGAAACTCAGCAAAATTAAATTAATTGTTACACAGCTTCAAAATGTTTGAACGTACCTCATTAACATGCCGATTATTATATTTATTTGCTTATTGTTATGTTTACTCGCCATGCTGGTAATTTTACTACTTAATCTTTTTGATATTAATGGTGGACGCAGACTCAGCTGTCAGCAATTACTGTGATTGCTGGCCTCCTTGTAAAAAGCAGTTTGATTTGGCAGAATGACCAAAACAATGAACGAAATGGAGGAAAAAAGAACAAGAAAGCTGAACTGGACAGTAGAGCAGTGCCTGCTGTTGGCGCAGCTCGTGGAGGAGAACAAAGGAGTTTTAAGAGGGAAATTCGGTCCCGGGATCACGGCACAAGGGAAGAGGCAGACTTGGGAGCGTATTGCCCGACAAATCAATGCGTCGTTCCCTCTCCTTTTACGCACAAGCGATGAGTGTGAGAAGTGCTGGTATGTGCTGCAATCCAAAGCGGGCGTTATTGCATTACTATGCTGGGTGGGAAAAGTAAGCTCATCCCTGATGAGGTCAACCACAAACATTATCCCTGCCTGATCAAGTCGGTAGCGTCTTATTAAATCACTGTCGTTCAATATACGGAGAATATCTCTCCTTCCTCTCTGTCTTTCCGCCATCTTCTCTGTTTAAGACACTCTTAGGCTTCTTAAAATTCCTCCTCCCTCCTCTTAACAGTTTTTCACCTTAGGAGCTCTCTTAAGGCCTAAGATGCTTTGTGAATAACTTTTATCTTCCCAAGGGAAAATTCTAAGAAAAATCTTAGAATTCGAGGAATTCTAAGATTTTTCTTATAATGACGTCACTAAGAGCTATTTTTAGTCTTAGGATTCTTTGTGAATACGGGCCCTGGTCATTAGCTCTGATCTAAACATGGCAACCAAAAACTCAGTCAGTATGCATGCTTTTTCATGACGTTTTGGGTGGAAGTAGCAAAACTTGCTTGCCATAAACGATAAATGTCAGTTGGGTATTGTGAATGATAAATGGCAGAGTCACACAGCCCAGTTGATCAGAGCATTATTGTTACAAATAAAATGTCATAAAGTGAATCAAATCAATTTACAATTGATCTTTTTTTCATGCACATAGATTTCATCACTTCCATTTGTTTTCATTTATTTTTTGTTACTTACTGTTTGTTTGTTCTTTGAGGCCACCCTAAAATGATAAATGGTAAATTTGTCTTGTGAATGAAGACTGTCAGACAGAGAAAATGATTAAACATGGTTCTATTTAATTGGATCAGATTTTATCACTATTTTTTATTTCACATCCATTTTCACTTCAAATGCATCTTTATTAATTAATTTTTTTGGACTGTAAAAAAATGAAGCCAAAATATCCTGGACACTGCCGCTTTCATCTTGTGCTAGTGACATCATTTTGAGCCATATTTTGCACACTAGTGATTGGTGGGTGGAGCGGCAGTATTGAGGTCCCACCCATACATAATTTGCGACTTAATCGCGAGTCAGTTCAAGCTGCCAATCATGACACCATACCCCCTTTTCATAGTATCAAATAACTTATCAAAACCAAACTTATCAGACAAATAATGACTTGAACAAATATCAGCATGATAAGAACTGCCTAAACTGACAGAAACCATCTTTGGGAAAAAATGAATTTGATGTGTGCTTTAATTTTTTTAGTTTGGCCCGTGTTCCGATCAGCTTTCATGGAGATTGTGGGCTTAATGACCTGTACTGCAGCCAGCCAGCAGGGGGCACTCAAGATGTTTTGGCTTCACTGTAGGGAGCTGACATTTTCTCCATCTTGATGTAGGATACAGTCTGTGCTTCCAGCTATCTTATTACACTGTGTATGCTGCTTTGCTCTAAACGTTATTTGGGATAGTTTGTGCATTTGACTATTTGGATTAATTTTGATAATAGCAATTAATTTTCAAAGACTTAAAACTGCATTATTTTTTCTCTGTTATTTGGGGATAGCAAAACATCCTTTAAATACAACATTGACATTATAAGGTTGATAAGCTTAACATGTTAGCAAACAGTTGCTTAATTCACCAACAGCAGACAGAAAGCAACATAAAGCAACTTAATTTGGAGTTGTGCCTCTGACCACCTGAGAATGTGAGAATGAGAATGTCTCTGCTAACTGCTCCACTAATTTCAGTAGCTTAACTCTTACATTGTCTGTTTGCTGTTTGGTGATGAGCAGGTAGTGTACAGTTTATCAGAGCTGAAAGATGCTAAAATTCAGCTGCAGAGTTGGTGGTAATTCTTAGTAGGTTTGTCGCACCTGTCACATGACATGTACCTTTTTCTCCATTATGCATAAGAATATTGATTATTGCAGCTTTAAAGGGGAACTAATGGATCAAACCGATCTACTTTTGTCTAAATGAGTGATAGGATGTTCAATATTTGACACATACACGGATGCAGAGTTCATTGAAATTGAAAAGCGGACGAGGAGAGAGAGGGAGCAGTGTTACTTCGGTAGCACATATACTAAAATTGCAACAGGCAGAGGAACATGTCCGAATCCAGCTAAAGGTAAACACAGACGTTCATTTCTCCTTTCCGTTATGTTGTTGGATAATTATACTAACAATCCGAGCCTATCTGTGTGAATAAAAATGCACTTTTAGTGGACGTATTTTGATGTTGTTTGACGCTGTCTGAGTGCCCTATTATTTAATATAGCGCGCGCTCACAGGCTGCAGGCAGGTCAGCCTTAGTCTCGCCACCAGACAATCAGAGATCTCCGTGATAGTCTGGGGACACTCCTTTCTAAAGTGTGTTTAACACACCGGAGAAAACGGCCGGCAAGGCCTTATCTCGTCCGCAAGGAAACAAACACACAGAGAGCTTGAAAATGGATGCCGAGAGATTTAACTCGGTTTTATCAAACGTGTGCTCAGTCCACAAAATTGTGGAAATGAAGGACTTACAGCAACTTTGTTTGAAACTTTTAACGCAGTCAGACTATGTTTACGAGCACAAGAGTTCAGCAAGCCACCGAAGGACCGCCCTGCGGATTTACTATTGGTTCTGCAACGTAGGGAGTTTTTTTTTTTAAACTCTGAAATTGTATCCACCCATCTAAACACAAAATCAGGGAGAAAGACTTAAGTCTTTAGTTAAGCAAAGCGTGTAAAGACTGACTTGTGAGTCTAGGTCAGCCTTAGCTTCGTACTGGAGAAATGTTAAATATTGAACATCCTATCACTCATTTAGACAAAAGTAGATTGGAAAATAGGGCCCAGGCTGAAAAAATCATTAGTTCCCCTTTAATGTTACATTCTAACAGCTAATTATTAGCTCAATGTACCGAATAACAGGCCATTTTATTCTGAAGCTGTATGTAAATTTAGTTATTGATTCTAACAGAAGCTGAAGGTTTGGAGAGTGTTTGAGAGTCAGTATGGCAAATTAAACAGGAAGTGATGGCACAGGACCAAAACAGGTCATTAGTTCAGTGAAACGATAGTTTGAAATGTTGGAAAACCTCCAAGACATGACACTGTACAAACAGCTGTGTCTTTAGTTTAGGACTCTACCATTCCATGATGATGCCTAATCCTTTTTAACATTCCCTTTGTATCAGTTGAACAGATGAAGTGCTGTCATACAGACAGCGTCAATTGTTTTGTCTGTCAAACGTTTCTTGCAAACTTCAAGAGAGGAGCAACCCAAGAAGTAGGGAAAAGTACCTAACTGACTGATTTGTTTTCTACAAAAATGTCCTTGTAGATGTTTTATTTTCATTGTGTGCAGTTTTTTATATAACATGAAAAAACAAAGGTGTGGTTTATGTGAACTGCTTAAGGTTTGCCATCGTTTCAGGTCTAATGTTTATTGCAGACTTCTTTGCGAAGTTTTAAGACAAAGTGCCTATCCTTTTAGATATACTGTAGAAAAAGATATAATGTCAACTGTTTTCTAATGCATCCACACTTGACTAGATGTTTGGTTCATTCTGTATGTAGCTCTGCAGGAAATCATGTTGTACAGAAAGCCTTATCTGCAAACAGAGAAATGATATCTACAGTACGCTTAAAGAACAAGAAAGGAAACATGACCTTATGGAAGTCAGTTGTCTTTCTTGGTTTTGATAAACCTTAAAATCATGGTGTGTGTGTGTGTGTGTGTGTATGTATGTGTATGAAGTCCTATCCATATAAAAATAAACACGCGCAGCAATGCGTGTGTGCATGCGTGATTAACATAGTAAATTTTGGTACGCGTGCGTGCGCACGTACGCACATGCGTTGTTACGTGCGGATTGTATTTCACGTGTAACAAGAAGATGCGTACTGTACTTACAGATAGTGATGTTACGCTCGAGCCAGTTTGCTCGACACAGTGTCGATCTTTTGAAGCGCAAGCGTTCCAAGGCAGTGTTTCGATCCCTGCTTCGGCACGCCCACA